CAAGAACCGTTAATTTTCAGCTCAGCCTTTGACAAAGGCTATGTGCAGATCCTGCAGCGCGATTGGAACATGTTGGTGTCCGAATCAATACTTTCCAACAACAAGCTCATATTCTACAAGACTGGGGCGTCAGGGCGGGCTGAGTTGCGCAAATGGTTGGCCGAAGAGCTTGGCAGCATCTGGAACGTTGCCGATGTCTTCGTTTCAGCAGTTGAAGCTGAGTGTGACATTCCAGCTGCACAAAGTTTGCAGCCATTCGATCTTGAGCATTGGAAGAGCATGTCTGATGACGCTTTGCCCGGTACTTGGCAGAGCTGTCCAAAAGCCGTCCAAGGATTCCAGATTACATACATTTTTGGCCCCGAGGTCCCATGTTTTCCGGCCTTTGGCCACGATCCTGGATTTGAAGGTGCCTTGTTTAAGTTCTTGCTGCACCACGGGCATGCTCTGGCTTCGCACAGGGGTCAATCAAATTAAATTGAGGCTGACGCTGTGGCACGCGAATTCCGCACAGTCCGCCCCACCGCTGTTAAGCTGGCAGAGTTTCCTGCTCAGAGCCTTGTCCCTGCAATATTGGGAGCTTCTGAGCACAAACTTTAGGTCCGGTCTGCGAGATTTGGATGCCTGCTGGGGGCAAGCAGTGGCACATTGGGAAGACCGTGTGCCATCCCTCGCCCGAATGGTTTGGGCCCCAGAGCTACGTCACTGATGTCATGTCATCTTGTGCTTGGGAACTCCTGTTCAGGTGAGTGTGATGCTGGCAGCTTGGGCATCGTCCAGTGCAGTGGAACAGAACTTCAGTTATGTCCAGCTCTACACCTCGGGCCGCAAGAGCCGGACGACCACTGACAATGTACGGTCCGGGCCTTACTTGCAAGGCTGGTTTCAACAGAAAGCGGTCACGTGCAGCCATGTCTTTCATTAAGTGCACGACGTGTCGGGATGCATAAGGGGTATAGAAGCACATCAGAGCTGGAGGTCCATGTTGAAGTGCCTCTTGGATGGCCCAGATGCAGACAAGCTAGTGCGGGTTGTGGCTTTGCCTGGTCAAGTGACACAGTTCCATGCTGAGCTGCTTTGCCTTCGTGTGCAGCAGCGCTACCGGGAACGGTTTGGAGCTCTCACCACAGCAGTGAAAAAAGAGCTGCCGCGCAAGCGTCTCCAAGTTGCTGCCCGGCCAGGGTGGGCGTCCTTAAAGAGGCAGCGGCAAGAGCAGCTGGACCATGCCACGTGCAATGAAGGTGGTCCGGAAATACGTGACCTGGAGCAAGTGACGGAACGAGCCGCGGAGGCGCGCAAGACGAAAAAACAAGTGGACATGCGGAAGACCTTGGAGCAGCATGTGCGAGATATGAGGAAGCAGGAAGAGGCCGATCGCGTGCCCATGGGCGAAGGGCCAAATGCCACGAAATTGCAGTCACATTTGCGAGATGCAGAAAAGCTGGCCTCCAAGTTGCGCGAGGTCCAACGCCAGTCCTTGGCGACAGCTTGTGAGTTGCCACCTTTGCCGGCGGGGACGTTGGTGATCGTGGACTCCGCTGGCGCTGATGTGGGCTTGGAAGTTTTGGGGGCAAGGGTGCAGCTGTGGCCCAGCAGCAAAAATGAGTGCATAGACGTCGTTTCGGCTGCTTTGCAAGCGCCGGGGGTCGTTTGGCTGGTTCGCAGCACTGATGCGGAGCAAAAGATGTTGCTGCAGCCCGGAAAGGATCTTTTGCTGGCTGTGCTCGCTTTGCGGGCGGCGGGTTGGGCGGTCCGCTGTGGTTGGATTGCGTCCATCGCGAGCAGAAGCTGGTGCCCACAGTGGTTTCCCTCAAACGCGGTTTGCAGAAATCTCTTGAAGTTGTTTGCCACAAAGATTGCGAAGGAGTGCCAGTCGCAATCGCAGCAGCGGCTGCAAATGCAGCAAGTGTCCCGTGCGGGTGGATCGTGCGGAAGAAGTGGAAGGAAATGCTCCCGCCTCAGTGCCATGTTGCTCGCGACTGTGCACGAACTTCCACAGACATACCTGGCTTTCAGGACTCGAAAGACAGGATTCGTCATCGTCTCCGACGAGTACAAGAAATCCCATCAAGCCAAAGCAAATCGAATCGGGACCTTGGTGACTTACGAGCACTTCCTCTTGGCCTGCTCGGGCCTCGGCTTTGCTTGCGGTCGACTAGTTCATGGCAGTAAGAATGCCAAAGTCAGGTACGTCGTGGGTGTGAGACTTGGCCGTGTAGCGCGGCGCTACGGCAGGCGAGAACTTTAGGCTGAGACAGCTCGTGGTGCGAACTTGGCTGCGAAAACAAGAGCACGTGCAAACAGCAAAATGCGACTTTCCTGAGCCTCGCCTGACTTGAAGTGAGACTTTGCTGGGCACTAAGGCCTCCTGACAGGCCATCGCTGCGCAATGTTTGTTTTAGGGGTGCAGGGTCCCAGCGATGACTCGGCCGGGTCATCACTGTGGCCCTTTCATTCTATTGCCGTGCAGCATGTCGACTTGCAGAGATGGCCTGTAGCTCCCCCCCCGGCAATGTAAAATGCAGTTTTGCAAGGATGACTTGATCAAGTCATCGCTGGGAACGAACCACCGTGGGCAGCACTTTTGCAGGGATCCGTGACAACTAGTGCCATGATAGCATCATATTTCCCTGGCGTAGATGGCACGATGGCGCTGTACTGCACCCAGCAGTGGCAGCCATCCGTGAAGACGTGGTTTCGGATTTTTTCGCAGGTTGCTGAACGCAAAATTCAACGTGCTTGCTAGACCTCATTTTGAAAGCCTGCTTCTTTAAACTGTAAGCCCTCCTTAAGGCTGACGTGGACAAGCTCCGTTTGCTCTACATGGATCCCTTGACGTCTTCAGATGCCATGTCGGGAGTGGCCGTGCACGACATTTTGGCTTCTCGCGGGAGGTTCTCATGTACAACGTGCGGGCGAGCATGCTGGGAGCGAGGCTTGGATTACTTCCTTGGCCACGTGCAGAAGAGCAACGAGACGTTTCTAAAGGATATGCTCCGCATTTTCCAGCCAAGGCCGTGCCGTTGCTGTTGCACGATCTTGCATGGGCTCAGGTGTTACATCATGTCCTGTGCTTGTCCTGGGGAGGCGGGCCTTGATAGTCTCAGAGGAGTCGATCAAATTCAACACGGAGTTTGCCCACGACTTGAGCCAAGACAGCGCCTTTCCTTACCGGGCAATAACCGAAGACAATCTCATTGTTTGTTTCCACAACAAATTGCCCTTGGATGAGCAAAAGTTTTCGCGGCCTTATGCCGAGCAGCAGAATGCCCCTACATTTCCCACCGGTATGCGTCTTGCGCTTCCTGTGCCAGACGGGAGCGCGGCATTTCGCTACAGACCAAAGCTTCCCGTGCAGGCGAGCGAGGCGACAGCGCCCGAGGCTGAGCCAGCAGTGGAGGCTGAGCCAAAAATCAAACGTATGAAAACCATCCGCAAGTACGTGAAATGGTCTGGGCAAAAGGTGTCGAACATGGTCATGGATGTGCTGGAGAGCAAGCTTCGTGAACCCGATCTCCGCACAACGTGGTACCTGGTGAACTTGAAGAAGGGAACGGTCATGGAAGGGCCACAGCTCATGAAGGACTTGCAGGGTGTCAACGTCCAGATGAACAAGCATGTGCTCGTGTACGTGGACGCCGGAAAGCAGCCCTGTGTCAGGCCCATGTTGACATCGGAGGCACTGGAGTTGCGAGGCTGGCCCGGGAAGTGTGTGAACTGTGCTTTTGTGAAAGATGTGAAAATCCTAGCTGCTAGAGCGCTGGTTCGTGGCATCCGTGCCCTCACGTCGTAGTAGACCACAGGCGCCTTGTGAAGGAGCTTGATCATAAAGTTTTGACCTGCACAGCCAGAGCGCCATAAAATTGTATTGTGTTGCAATGCTCACGGGCACATGCGCAAGTGATCAAAACGGTCCCGCGCTGTCGAAAGTGACTTGGGCTTAGCAGTTAGGGCACTTAGCACGGCCGACACATGGCGGCCAAGAGAGCTGCTGAGGGCAGCACTCCGCTGAAGCGTGCATGCACGAAGACCGCTCCCAGCAACCTCGGGGTCCCGGCAGCCAACACCGCTGCGGTGCATCCAACAGCAGCCGGGCTTGTTTGGCTTGCCTCTCGCACCGCTGCCTGCAACCTGCTACCCAACCAAGGTGCGACAATTGGACAGGATCCACACAATACTGGCCGCGGAGTTCAAAAAGTTGAAGCCCAAGACGGCCGTGGCGTGGGGCGGGCCTTTTGGCTCAGATCATGTTTTGTTCAGTCCGCATTTCAGTTTTTCCAACGCACCTCAGGATTGCAGCTCTGGATCCGGATGACTATGCCAAGCACATGCGGCGAGCTGGGGAATGCGAAGTGACTGTGACCCGTTGCCATTTGCCGCTGCGCCTTGTCCACATTTAGGTCATGCCATGTGCCTAAAGTTTGCGCGAGTCAAGCGTTGCGATGCCAGGGTGCCTTCCTGTCACAAGAGTGTGATTCCAGCGTGGGGCAGCGTGGAACGCGCCACAGCTGCGCAGGGAAGACGTAGCGCAGTCGGTGACGGACTTATTAAACAAATGTATGCTGAGGTGTTGCCAAGGCGTACTTCCATGATGGGTCCCGATGGACGGCCGGTCGCGGATGCTGGACAACAGCCGTGATGGTTCGGGCGACTTCTCAGGACGTCCCGCCTGCGCAGGGTTACTACTCAGTCCTGACGCGACTTTGCCTGCGTTGGCCCTGACTGTGCTACACGAACCTGCCAACTCCTTGTGTGTGTAGGTGTCATGCCCAGGAATGACATCGTGGTGATGGCTTGGGATTATGCGTTCGCAAGCGCAGTGTCGGCAAACGACCAAGTTGCCATCCAAGAGTTCCAGCAGAGTGCCCTGGGCCCTGACCTTGCGTGTTCGATTTGTCTACGTGGAAAAGAACTTGGACTTTGAACTGCGCAAATGGGCATGTTGGCTGCATCACCGCCTGTAGCATCGTGTGCATGTGTGCACGCTCTCTGCTGCAGACATGGCCTTATCTCAGGAAGAGGCGTCCCGGACGAAGACCAAAGTCGAGAACAATGCTTTGCTCACAGGATGGAAAATCATTTTGGGGCTCGTGGAAGTGAAGGATGCTCTGAAGAATGCTGGCCATGATGACGATGACACATCCGTGGCCGCGTTTCTGAACAAGGTGAACCTTCCAGAGTTATCGGCGAAAGGGATCGCTCAGAGAATGCACCTCGGCCAGCGATAGACGAAGCTGTGGCACAGCAGTGTCAGTCACCAGGTGAGGTTTGCTGTGCCTTGCGCCCTAAGGAAAATTTACAAGCGCTTCACGCAGAAGGCTTTGCAGCAGCTTGAAGAGCTGGATAGCCACTGTGGGCCTGCCAAGCATGCGTGGAGTCAGATCAGTGCCCTCGACAGCTTGGCCAGCAAGACAAGCTGCAAGACCTCGCACGTCCAGAATGGGTTGCTGGAATGGGTGCTCGCGGGGTACACGGTATGCATCAAAAACAAGCTGTTGGAGGAGGCTGACTGGATGTTGAAGGGCACGCAAACAAAGTTCATTGGCAGAGAACTGCTCAAGAAGAGGATCTGCTACTTCTTGACGACCAAATTTGCCATCCCTGCAGCCATTGAGCAGGAGTCACGTAGCTGCAAAGGAATGTGTTGCGCGTACTAATAGCAGACATGAGATGCCAACTAAGGAACGGGGATGTGACGGAAGGCTCGAAATCGTTGAAGCAAACTTTTGCCTCCTACGACGCTTTCTTGGCAAGCGGGCTTTTCAGTCACTACCGCAGCACGTGTGTCGTGGATGTGGAGAAAGAGTCCTTCACTTGGTTGAACAGCCTCACGGAGACGCAACAAACCGTGCTGCAGTTCTTGGCAGGCATGCTTGCGGGCAGCCCGTCAACAGAGGAAGTGCTCAACCAGTGTTTGGACGCCGATTACTTGATCTCCGCTGAGCAAGCTCTCGGGAAAGCTTGGTGGAAAGATCGCGAGATCTTTGATTTGGAGCAGTGCTGTCAGGCTCACACGGCCTATTTGCAGCCCGCAAAACTGGAGGCGGCTGCAGAACCGCCATCGGTGCCGGCAGCACCAGTAGCACCGCCAGTACCCAAGGATGGTTCGGCAGCAGAGCAGACGTGGCAGCCAGACATTGTGCCAGAAGCAGCAGCTGACGTGCCGGAGATCCCAGTGGACAGCTATTTCCCAGCGTTGCAGCTGACCGAGTTGCAGAAGGACGTGCTGCGCAGGGTCAATGCCGAGAAGCTGGCAAACGTTGTCTCGCACGCCAAGGTGTCGGCCGCAAAAAAATCACTATCAGCGTCGGAACCGCCTTTACCGCAGACTTCGACAAGCTGGACGCCGGTGTGCAGGACCCTCGGACACATGTGTACATTTGGGACGTGAAGAGTGGTGGTACAAACTGTAGCCCACTCGCTCACCGCTTTCCATACCGGTTCACCCCGCCGTTCGCAAAGGGCATGCTCACGTCGACCTTGCATGCCGTCTTCGGGGAGAAGGCGGATAGCGAAAGGTTGTTCCGAAAGCAGGACTTGGCCTTTTTTCTTGACGGGCGTGTGCCCACTGTTCACACGGACCTGCTCAAAGAGGTCAAGAAGGCTTTGAAAAACTTGCCGAACCAGACCGTACCGACCCGCAAGTACACAATGTTTGAGTTCTTCTACGCAAATCGGGAGTTCACTACCGGATTCTTGAAGCCCAAGTCGACCAGGACACAGTTCCACGCCCTCATGCCTGGACACACTGAGCGCGCTGTTGCGGTGATGGGCACCCAGTTCTCGGTAGAGCACCGCGAACGCAAATGGCTGGACTTGCCCGGGAGCAACAGAAGCTTGGGATGGTCGGGGAATAGCTCCAAGACCCCGAGGAGCAGATCCTCGTGAGCTGGGCCACTAAGGTGGAGATGTTCAAGAAAGTCGTGAACACGTCCGCCAGCGTCAATGAGGAGGCAATGAACGATGATGAGATGAAAGCGGAGTCCGCGAGCCAGGTCGAGGCCAACGAGAGATCCTTGCTCTGGCCATGGGCCAGTCCGGAAGTGTTCTGGCGCGAGCTGTACAATTGCGTGGGCGACCCCGCGAACCTAGTCATCCTGACGGCAACGCCGTCAGCGTCAGGTGCTATCGCAGCGGCCCGCATGTCAGCTCAGTATATTGGATGGGTCCCGAACTCATCCATCAAGGGTGTCCTGATGGACGCTGTGGCTCTCCGCGTCAGTATGGATTTGCTCCTCAACAACCGCCAGGCATCTCCGTTGCGCCCCAAAGACACCGTTGTTTTGTTAGCATTTTTTTGCGCAGGATTGGGGCAGAAGATTCCTCACGCGAGCCCAGAGCTTGGGCGGCGAGGCGGACACTGAGCCAAGCAGGCCCGCTTTCAGCGCTGTGCAGAGTCCCGGCGGTCAGTCTTCGAGTGCTGGACCTGCAAAGGGTGATGATTCGAACAAGGTTCCAACAGGTGCTGCCGAGGCGCCAGCTAAGATCAAGGACAATGCATCCGATAGCAACAGTGAATCATCAGATGATAGTGCTCCGTAGATTTGTCGCATCAGCGTGCTTCTCATGTGGAGGGACGCAACAGGCTGGCCGCCCTAGTTCACCGTTTTTGCCTTTGACGCAGCCGTTCTGCGTTTTGACGGCAGCCAGGGAGCATGCCGCATGCCCATAAACTGAAAGCTTCCGAATGCAAACTTCCTGGGATGCTTTTTGCTGAACGGCTGCCCGGTGAAGGGCCAAAGAAAGCTGCAGAAGTAAGGTCTGTGTGTGCAAGCATTATTCCATGCCAAGCTGTGTAGCGCGATGTAAACAGCGTTGTGAAGAGCCTTGTCCTGCCAGCATGGGAGCTGCGATTGCAATGGTTGCATCGCGCATTTTGCGCGTCATCGACCTTCCGCCATGACACTTTTGCAGACATGCCCCAACTTCTTGCAGAGCACGGCCACGCACGTAGGGAGAAATGGCCACATATTTTGAGAATATGTTTTGCTTCACCAGCGTTGACGTCCAAAAACAATGGTTAGCAATGATGTCCAGATGGCATGGTGTTGCTGCATGGGGCTTTCAAGTTTCGTTGGCGATCCGCATGATGAGCATCAGCGGCCAAAAATGTTTTGCGTGCATGCACCCTTTGTGCAACATCATTCGCATGCTCTGAGAACCTTTTCATGATGGCCGCAGCCATTTTTTCGGAGCACGCTTGCCACGCCTCCCTGAGGCTTCTGCTCAACCAGCGGTCAGCCAAGTGATTGGAGCATGAAGCGGCCAGCCTCTGCATCCGCTGCGGCGTCTGCTAAGAAGCCGCGCGCAGTACGCAGGGAAGCGACCACCATGACAATCTTTTCGCTGGCAAGCTTCATTTCCGAGTTACTGAGACTCATGGGCCTTCAGCAAGCTGGAAGTGCCGCTCGGTTGAATCTGAAGCTGGTGACTGGTTGCAGCGGAAGCGGTGCGCCGTCCATGGTGTTGAGAGCCATTCTGGGGGAGGATGCGGTCCAGGAGCTGTATGCAGCAGAGTGCGAGGCTTCAGCAGCGTACTGCCTCAGTGCGAACAACACAGTCGCGCACATTTTTGAGAACTTCGTGGAAGTAGCTGCTCGCGGCTCGGGCGGCCATGCATTCTGCATGTTGCATGATGGCATGTGTCGCATCCCTGGGACAGCCGAAGAGGTCCACCTTTTTTGTGCCGGCTTCACGTGCAAAGCTCAGTCAAAGGCGAACAATCAACGCTTCAAAAAAAGCCCGCTTGAGTCGCCGCATCACACCCTTTTCACCGCCTGCGTGGACTGGGTCAAGTCCAACAGGCCCCAGACATATGTGCTGGAAAATGTCACAGGGGTCCTGTCGGCTGAGTCGTCGGAAAACCCGGAGCCAGTTGTGCAGAAGCTGATGGCAGAACTGTTGCAGATTGACGGCTACACTGCCACATACGTCACACTTGATGCTCGGCCGCTGCCCACCAAGCGGCCCCGAGTGTTTTTTGTGGGCAGTCGTCGGGGCTCGGCTTTGGTCATTGCCTCCCAAATTGAGTTGCTGGCAAAACAAGTCCGAGACATGCCGAAGCACCACGTGAAGACTTGTTTGGGCCCGCAAAAGGCCGAGTACTGGCGAGACCTGAGTTGCTCGGATGCTGGCAGCAAGGCGTCCCCTCTTGCGAGCCTGGAGGGCCAGGCCGCATACGCAAACAGTGTGGAGAAGGCCCGCAACAAAGCCATGGAAAAAGGGCGTCTGGATGCTCAACACTCGTGGCCCTGTCTGAGCGAGCGGGAGAGCTCACACTGTCGAAGCCTGACATCCGTGACTCCATGGCATCTAGCACAAATCGACACGTATGAGCAAGTCTTGAAGAAGGCGTGTGAGAATGAGGCTGTGAATGCCACGTTGTATCGTCTCGCAGATACTTCACAGACTGCTTCGCGCGGGGCTGTCAGCTTGGACGGTACCTTGGACACCATTTTGACCGGCAGCAGCTACTACAACTACGAGCTGCATGATTTCCTAGATCCCTCTTGCCTCATGGCAATCCATGGATTCCCGGACTACAGCTTCAAGGGCTGTTCGAAAAAGGAAGCTATGCAAATCATCGGCAACATGATGGCGGCGAGCAGTCTGAGCGTCGTGCTCATTCCAGTTCTCTCATCACTGCAGTTTCTGCGCAGCGCATGATTGTGCCGCTTCACGCTAGACAGGTAGTTTTGTGAACCTTGGCCTACCGGCTTTAAACTTAGAAGTGGAGCATGCCCGGCAAATTGCTGTAAAGTTACAATAGCTTAGACGGTTTGCTGTTGACATCCCCCGGGAGGTCGAGCGCGTCCAAGTTTTGATGAAACATCACGCCGTGACCCCAAGCGTCATGATGCCAGAATGTAGCACATTGATGCGATGAGCAGACAAGGAGGGCAGCGTGGAAAAAAACAGCTCCAATAGCGGCAGCAGACTCGCGGAGCGTTTTTTTCCTGGGCTTTCCTGGCCTTTCCTGACTTTTCCTGACTTGCTGCTTCTCGCGTTGCATAGTTGTATCTGGCAATGATGAGAGGTCGACGGAAGGGTGGAGGCATTTTGCGGCAAGCCTGCGCTTTGTCTGAACAAATCGCAAGCGAGTGTTTTTTGTTCAAGGCTGACACGCGTCTGCCATGAGAAATCTGTACTTGTGCAACGTGAGGGTGAGTTTCCATCCAAATTTTTGTGCCAGGGGTCGTGCAGTAGACAAAGAAGTTGAGCCATGCCGCCACAGTTCATGGACGAGGATGCTTGCGAGCTCAGCGATCGCAACCCCAAGGCCAATAAACTTTGCGTGAACTTGCGTGCGAAAATGACTCCAGCCGTGTTTCAGTAGCAGGTAGGATTTCCAAAGCATGAACTTTCTCGTTGTTCACATGGTTGCTCCAGTCGCACCATGCAAGCACCAAGCGCAAGCGTGAGCCAG